GAAATGATCGACACTGACGTAGATAATTTTCAATAATATTTTGAATTATTTATTTATTTTTCTTTTCTTTCTCTTTCTTTCTTTTTTTTTTCCACCCTTCATCTTCAACCTTTAGCCGGTCACCGGAACTCGACGACCGGCAAGAGACAAGGGCGAGCCTCCCCCGCCCCAACCTCGCCAGGGGCCAGCAAGGCTCGCCCTCGCCAATGGCCGAGCGGCCTTTGTCCTGTCGTTGGTCGTCGACCAGCTAGAGGTTGAAGATAAAGAGGGAGGGAAAAATAGAAAGAGAAAGAAAAGAAAAAAAAAAGGCCGAATTGTCAATTCAATCCATCTGGCCTGTCAAAATTAGCCGGACAGATTGAATCGACACAAATATAAAAGGTTCAAGACTCAATTGGCACAAACAAGATTTAATATTGAATCAACATAATTACAATAAGTTTAGGACCGTTTTGGCAATCCTCCCCTTTTTTTTTATAAGAGGAGATGCAGTGAATATTAAATCATCAGTGTAATTAACGATTCTGATGCCACTTACGAAGGATAATCCATCCCACTACTACGGGAAATATAAGTCTTACATCACGACACGAAATCAACAACACAATATGGACTTTCTCATCACAAAAAAGTTCGAAACTTTACCGTTATTTTGAAATCATGACTCTCTCTCTCTCTTTTATTGAGAGTGCACTTGCTAATAAAATTCAAACATACATATAAACTTACATACATTGATATATATATGTATATATATATTTCAAAACTTGGAAAAAAAAATGAGGGATTGTGTTTAAGTTGAGTTCTAAGTAAGTAAAAAAAAAAAAATTGCGATTCATTTCTTAAGAAGAGAGGCAAAGAATGGGGGAACGAGGGAGCGGAAAAGGTGGGTGCCGCCATATCAGAAAGTCAGCGTTTGGCGGGGGGGGGGGGGCGCGAACCCCGAAAATGACAAACCTTCCCTGCGTTTTCTCGGCCATTCTGAAATCAATCTCTCCTTCCTTTTTGCGTTGTTCGAGGGGAAGAAGATCCGATTGTCGGCATTTAAATTCCCTCCCATCACATCAATGCCTCCATTCTCCTCCTTCCTCCTTCCCTTCACCCCCACCCCCCATCAAGTCAAATCAACCCCCCACCACCACTTTTTTATTCTCCCCCTTTTCATGCACACTTCGGATTTAAAACAAAATTGGAGTAAAACTTTTCTAGATTGATTTTGGCTACTTATTCTCCTTCCAATCGATTCAATTTTTTTTTGATTTTTTCCTTTTTTAGTTCCAAGTATCCGCAATTTCACAATATAGAGATACCGACGCTTTCTTTTCGAAGCTCAGCTAATTTTAAGTTTCGAGGGAACGCTGCTTGTGCCTTCTACTTAACGCCATAAAAAGAAATAGGAATGGTGGTCGAGTACGTTAAAGAAAATATCTTGTATCTTTAGAAGCGTTAAGTATTGATAAAGCGAGAAAAATGTAATATTGGAAATCATATATTTCGTTATTTAATTGATCAATAATATCCATTCGCTCGTCAAATAAATCCACTTGATGTAGAAACTTCATTCGCTGGTTGGGTAGAATTTGTTAAGTAAGAAAGTGATGATACCACAAAAAAAAACCTCAAATTATGTCCATTGTAATACAGATATCTAAAAAAAAATCATAAACATGTCTACTGTGATCCAGATACCCCTTTGTGTCACGAAAAAAAATCCAAACTTATATATATGTGACACATATACATTCTATTTCAATTCCATCCGATGTATATTTTGTCACACTGATATTTGTATCACAGTAAGTAAATTTAAGATTTTTAGTGATAAAAAAAAAGTTCAAGGCATTTGTGTCTCGATGGGTATAGTTTGGAGTTTTTTGCAGATTAATCCACTAAAAAAGCAATGGAACGTTCAATTCTTTATAGAGTAAAGTTAATAAATGCCTCAAAGCAATTGTTAACAGTAAAAAAACAAGTACCTTATTCTAAGTTGCTTAAAAAATAATCATATTTAATTTATCTAGTGAATTCAAATGGTTTCCCCATCATCAAAAGGACTATAAAAATTCATATTTGGTTTAACAAGTACCCACCATATAATTTTTTTTTTTCTGTTTTTCGCTAGAACCCACATTTTTTTTGAAAGGTAAAAAGTAGATACTTAAATTTTTTTTTTGAAATTGGGGCTATAATTAGACCACAACCATCATGTGAGGTAACTAATTGTACGGAACAAGAAATCCACAGCAAAGAACCAGGAAGGAGTGCGTGGGTGATCGTGACGATAAGACAATGTTCCCATAAAGAAGCCTTATTCGCCCCCAACCCCGATCGCCTCGAGAAACGAAGGGGTCCTCCTTAGATCCTTTGCTCTGAGTCTTGGATTTGGATTTTGCTTTTTTGTCTTTAGGGTGGTACAAATATAAATATGGCCATGAATATTTCTCACTTTCTTTATAAAAGGAAAAGGCTGACCCCTTTTTTTATGGTCTTTCTATTGATGCTGCTAAGCACCCCCTTTTGCTTCTTAATTTTTTCTCTTTTTCAGTAATTGTATAAACCTAACTTCAAAAATTTAGTGTCCATATGTGAGATATCCAATGTACCCTCGACATATAATCTTATCTCGATGAGCAAGGACGAGGTGAATGTGTAATTTGACGGGCGAGGCGGAGGGAACGGTTTTTTTCCTCGGCCGCTATGTGCACCGCTGTGGTTGAATATGAAGAGAAATTGGAGAAAGTGATGGAGCAACACCTATTTTATTTTATTTTTTCGGGTCGAAAAATTAATTTCCATTTCATTAAGTACGGGCCCAATTATACGATGAAAGGGGCTTCGCATCAAATGAGCTCCCAAAGAAGGGGAGGGAGATTTGAAACACTAGTTTTGTGAAAGGGCTTTATTTTTATGGGGCTTAACATCCTAGTATGCAAGCATATTTCTTTCTCTAGGACATTGGGCTAGAAGTGTCCTGTAGTCGGCGATGAGCGCGCGGACATCCCGGAGGCAGAGCGAGTCGCCCGTGAGAGAATCTATCGGACTTTAGATTGTTTTAGTCGAGTTCTATCCTATTTCTTTGTCTATTTTACAAGCCACTGTTTGTGTATATGCTATGGGCAGGTTTCGAAACTGTCCTCCTTTACTCGCGCTAAAGTTCAGTTCATATTTTGTTGAGAAGTCCTCGAGGGTTTGAAGACGTGCAATGGTTTCGACTTGCAAGCTCTGAAGAAACCTTCACTGTCTTCGAGAATCCATCAATCAATCTCCCCTCAAAATTGCGGCAAACGCAAGTTACGGAGCCTTTGGATGATCGATCCTTCATGGAAAGATCCGTCGATGTTTAGCTTCGCTACTCCTTTGTTCGGACGTTTCAGGCTCCTTTTGGCAAACAGGGCATGTCGGCATAGGTACTATCTTCATTATGAATGGATTTTCTCTAGTAGGCAGGGCACTTTGGCACACACTAGTCTGACTTTCGATAGAGTTTCTAGATTCCAAATCGTTTTCCAGAGAGCTGTGGGGGGTTTGGGTGGAAGATGAGGCCTGATTTACATTGTGCTTTGTCTAGCATCTCCGAGCTTGTTATAGCCACTTTGGACTCGGTAGCATCTTGATTGATTGCATGTCTAGACTAGCTTATCTGCGGTTGATGTTGTTGAGAGAGGAATAGCTACAGACGGACACTGGAATTTTGAAAATTGACATTGCATATTGTAGGAAAAACCTACAACACGGCTTTAATTATAATTTCCTTTCCCGCCTTTGAAAAAAAACTTTTGTTCAAGGCCTTCAAGCTCCATGTTCACTGTTGCCATGCTCCAAGCGAACATTTGCTTTTTAGATTGGCCACAGTTTGATGAAATACCCAAGTATTTATTTGCTTTATCAATTTCTGAGACTCTCATTTCCTGAGCCATGTTCCTTCCTAAAAGTTGTGGACATCCAGCACTAAAGTAGATTCATAACTTGAGCAAATCAATGGCCTGACTCGTGGTAAAACGGTACTGATTAGGATAGCAGTTCATTTATGACATTCCCTAATCTTTCTGTCAAGAAAAAGGATAGAGTCATTTGCAAACAATGAAAGGTCTAATGTAGGCGATGACTATTTAATTTGATACCTTTAAAGCTACCATCTTTTTTTGCATAAGGAATGAGAGTACACTCGCCACAATTATGAACAAGTTTGGGGATAATGGGTAACCCAGATAAAGTCCTATCGAAGGTTTGAAGTAGGGAAGAGGTTCCACGTTGAATTTAACATTCCCCGTTGAATTTAACACTAGAGATTCCTAGGTGACACATTGCATGACCTATGAAACCCATCTCTCACTGAATTGCATTTTTTAACATACAAATTTTCAAGAAATCCCATTCCACTCTATCATAGGCCTTTTTCATATCCAGTTTCAGAATAGCCTGAAATTTCTTTTTTCTCTTCCTAACTTTGAGTTGGTGTAGTACCTCCGGAAAATTGTAAGAAAAAGTTATAGATGTGAGCTTGCAATTAACTATCCACTAAAAAACAAAAACTATTCAGATTTTTCCATAAAAATAAATGTGTCACCCGGAACACGCAGTTTTTTACTCTAGTTCTTTTTTTTTTTTTAACTAGGGGCTACTTATTAACTTTGTCATTAAAATCTGAAATTTATTTTGAACGTACAATAATTATATAAAATTTTGTAAATGATTATGTATGACAATGTACGTATACTTTGAAAATCATTTCTAGCTGAACAAAAGTCCATCTGTGAGAATTGTAAGATTTTATGAAGTATTTCAAATGAAAACTAGAAATCACTTAAAAATAACATTTAATGCATTCGAATGCTGGCCACAAATAAAAGCAAGATTCGAATAAGTGCTAGCAAGTTCCCACAATTCTCTTCTTTTCGGCTGTGCTCAAAGGAGTTTCTACACTACAATGCACATATCACTCGATCAGCACAGCTTGTGCAGATGAGATGTCCTGCACAAAACAACCTGTCTCACAATCCACACCAAGAATCCACTCAACAGGACCAATAGAGAAGATGCTGGACAAAGGCTCAAGCCCCATGTCCTGGAGAAGAGTGCCATTTCAATCCAAGCTTCAGAGCTCTCCATCCCAAAGTTCTTCCACAGATTTGAATGGCCCTTTGGCTGAGACAAACTCTTCCTTGAGCATCATTTTCTTCTGTGGGATCCGCTCGATCTTCTCGTGGTCACCCTCCGTCAGTTCCCAGTCGAAGATGCTGAGGTTCTCCTTCAACCTCTCCTTGTTGAAGCTCTTCATCACAAAAGTGACTCCTTGCTCATATAGCCATCTCAGACATACCTGCCAAGAGCAATCCCAGATTGCTACTGTTATATTTACACATAATAATCCATTTTAAAATGCAAGTTTATGTCAATCTCCATCAAAATTTAGCAGCCTAGTCCTTTTTTTTACTATTGTAACTTTGAATGCTTGGATTTACTGATAATCGGGTGTCTTCTATGGCCGATTTACTTCTAATATGATTCGCATATGTACAAAAAATAGGAGTCAGAGCAATTTATCTGAAAACTTTAACATCTAAGATGTTGAAGAGATTAACAATCAACTTGATAGCACCACCCGCTGGGTGGCGCTGCTGGAGCGCGCATTCTTCCGCTCGCAAAGGTTGAGTGTTCGAATCCCGGGTGCCGTAGGGTGACTTAACCGGTGCACGTGTGTGGTGGCTAGCACGTGTCGCCCCGGGTTTACCTCCCGGCTGTCGGCCGTGCGGGGGTTCCCCGGGTCATCAAAAAAAAAAAAAAAAAAAAAAAACAATCAACTTGATAGCGAAACCTGGGCAATACTCTTTCCCCGAGCCTTCGCAATTTCCTTCAGAGATTCATTCTCCATGACTTCATTTGTTCCCCAATTCGTTCCTGGAGCTCCTAAGGGAGAGAATGCGGTGATGATGATGTTATTCGCTTTACAGAACTCTCTCAGCTTCTTCTGCTGCCAGAGAGGGTTCATTTCCACCTGAGAGACAAACATCATCCAAACAGTTAGCAGGTCATTTACAATGCGGACACTTGCATACTGCCATGTCGACTAGTCTTCAACTTCCTTTAATTTCTTGAACCAGAATTGTATGAATGAAAAAAACAGGCTCGCCTGATTTACTGTTGGAGGAATCTTGGCGAAGCTGAGGATGTTTCCGAGTTTCTTGCAAGAGAAGTTGCTGACTCCGATGGACTTTGTGAGACCTAACCTCTGGCATTCTTCCATGGCTGCCCAGACTGCCTCGAAATCCATTGTCATGAGGTCAGATTCGTCCACAGGGAACGTGTACGACCCTGGCTTACAGCTGATTGGCCAGTGGATGAGATAGAGGTCAAGGTAATCCAGTTGAAGATTGCTGCACATATAAAACAGTCATTGAAGTTCGGCTCGCCAAATATGGGAGAAAATGATTTTTACAAGAATCAAAACACTGACACTGATGCTAATGATGAAGTTAACATGGCCTTCAACATATATGGCTTCGGTTCAGAAACCGTATAACACGATGACTGGAAAAGCCAATCATGAGTGTCTGATAAATTCAGCAACAATATCATTCTCTTCTTCCATTACCTATTAACTGAAGGAAAGGAGGCTCACTCACAGTCATAGCCAGTAGACAACTCGATAATCGCATAGGACAGTACACCTAACATAAACAAATTTCATTCTACAAGTGCAACTGATGCAGAGAAAAACACTCTTTAGTCCGTCATGGTGCAAATTGTTTGAGCTACAACTGATGTGAATTCGAGTTTATTCGTTCTTTCACATGAATTCATCCTTTCAAGTTTCAATTACAGCTATAGATGTTCCTTACCCCAAGAATCCAAGAGGGCTCCAACTTAGAAAAACGGAGTGGCATCGCTACAAAATTTGGTGTTAGAAGTTGCCCAGCTCAAGTCTAAGGAACATCCATGAAACAAGCTAAACAGCAAGCATGATCATCTTTCTTAGGAAGACCACTAATTTCTGTTGGTGCCTCAACAGCTGATCGGACAAACAAGAACTATGAAGGGTAACCAGCCAACAAGGTACTCTGTTGTCACTAGTCAATATGTTTTAACTCATCCTTTTGAAATCATTAACCAACAATAATTGGTCCAACTAGATATGTTGATAGCTGGATCGCAGTACAACGATCTACTAATTCCAGAACGAAGACAGGCCCAGATAGCAGGATTCTGCAGAAAACAGTTTGCAAGCAACAACACCAAAAGTGATCGAAACAATCAACCTCAACTTTATGCAAAAATCACGAACAACATAGCGACCATACAATTCATAGTTGAGCTAAGGCCCAATCGATAATGATTACCTCAGCGACTTCCTGAGTGCAGGCACAACGCGATCAGCATGAGCATCGCTGCTCCAGAGCTTCGAGGTGATGAAGAGCTCAGCCCTCGAGCCGACGAGCCCGAGCCCGAGCGCTTCGGCCAGGACTTCCCCGAGCGGCTCCTCCGATCCGTACATGGAAGCCGTGTCGAAGTGCCTGTAGCCGAGCTTGATCGCCTCCAGCACCGCCGACCTCATCGCGACCGCGTCGAGGGGTTCCGCCGCCGTGCCCAGGCCGATCACCGGCATCGGGCGGCTCCCAGCGGCGGCGGAGCTAAGCCGCACCTCCGGGACCCCGATCGACGGTCCTGAAGCGCTCTCCATTGCTGCTCGAACTTCGACTGCTTGCGAAGACAGTGTGCAGAAGAATTGAGAATGGTTTCGGGGGCTTTCGGCACGCGAAGTGGAGTGAGCAGGTCAGGCGTCACGAGTCAAAAAGGTTGCAGGTTGAGAGCGTAACCGACAGTCCTAGCCGCCATCAAGCTTTCAACGTAATTTTTAGCGCTCCCATGATCACAAGTTCAGCTCCAACTTGGCGACCACGGTGGACCCTCGCCGTGCAGCGTCCACGCCTCTCGTATCCCGTCTGACATTGTTCGTGCGTGGCACGGACGGAGGGAACCTTGAAGAAGCTTCAGGATCGGCGAAGGTGGTCTTGTCTTCTTCGAAATTGGACCGTTGACCTTGAGGTTGCGGGCTGAGACAAGGCCAAGTACGTTGTGATATTTCCTAGACTTGACGTGTGATGCTCCAGTTCTCCTCTCTCTTTTGCCACTTCTGACATTCCCCCTCCGCACGGGCACGACCACAACTTGCCAACCACTCGGCAGAGTCGCCTTCCACCGCGCCGCGGTTTCTACCGCTACTCCGCGGCCTCTCTCTCTCTCTCTCGACCCTTCTCACGCGGCCTCTTCTCTCGTTTGTCCCTCGCTGCTGCGGCGGCCAAATGTCGTATTTGTGCTGGATTGATAGATTAATAGAATTTGGTTTCCTCCATTGCTGACCTGCGAACCGTAGAGAAAGAAGTCTATTGGGAATCTATTCGGGGGGATCCTCAAGTGCCTACAATGAGTAAGGTGGGAAGTTGAAAGATTATGGAGAAGGGTTAGGGAAATTGACCATTATATTTGGGGATACTTGTTATGATCTTGGTGTTTTTGAGTATTTGTACTAACCATTGAACACCCTTTTATACTAGAGGTGGAAATAAAAATCCAAAAATCTGAAACCCCCCCTTCTCGCTCGACCGGAAATTCCTTAATTTGAATAGCCCGAGGCAAGGTTTTCGCGCTAATTTGATTTTACCACTCAGGTAGGGCCAAGCTGTCAAGCTACATACCATGCGGCACGTTTATATTTGGGATAATGACATAAATAATCCATGAACTTTGGCCCAATATGCAGTATGATCACCAAATTTTTAATTTTTTCAATATAATCCCGAAATTACCCAACGTGCAATGTGGTCCCTGAACTTTTAATTTAGTCAATGTGGTTATTGAACTATATGAAAATATTTGATGTGGATCACATAATCCGGAGATTAAATAGAACTTTCACTAAAAGTCCAAGGACCACATAGTACAATTTAAAAATTTAGGGATGATATTGCACATTGGGTTAAAGTTCAGGAACTACATTGAACAAATTAAAAGTTCAGGGTCATATTGCACACTAAGCAGGGTCATATTGCACACTAAGCTAAAAGTCAGAGACCACTTGTGTCATATATCCCTTAATATTTCATATATATATATATAGAGTGAAGGGCTCTAATTTAAAAATATTTGAAACTTGGTTGATGGGCTCTTGAAGTATAAAGCCTGGGCACTCGTGTCAAATGATTACCCTTTAGCACATTAGAAATTCCACGAAATTCGAGTTGGAAAGGACAACAATTCGGCATTCCAATTAGGGGAAAATTATCCAAAATTTTTTAAATCTATTGAACTTTTGTTAATTAAGTACGAAACCCTTTAATTATATCAATTGAGTACTAAACTTTTCATGTTTAGAAAAAAAAAAGTAAAGGAGGAAGAGAAGAAAAGAAAAAAAAAAGGAAAAATAAAAAATTAATGAAAAATTCGAAAAAAATATTAAAAATTGTTCGCGTTAGCACCGACTGTCCTATGTCGATCGTACCACATAGGATGGTCAATATTCACGTCAGCGATTTTTTGGAAAAAATTGGCTGGATAGACTCAATTGGCAAAATGTGAAAGGTTTAAAACTCAATTGATACAATTAAAAGGTTTAAAACTGAATTGACAAAAGCGCAATAGGCTTAGGACTTTTTGAACAATTTTCTCTTCCAACGAGTGCTTTCCTTGCGACTTTTCGAATTTTGGGCTTAGCCTAGCCAGAACCGAACAGGCCCCGAAACGTTGCCCGAATCACAACCATCTCTCAATTGGCATAATTCCTTAAAAAATCCCTAACTTTAGGTCTAGTCCAAATTTGTCAGGAATTTTTTTTTGTTAAAAAAAAATCACAAACTTTTAATATAGTCTCAAATTTGCCCCAGTTAATCTTTCGTCCAAAAACCGCCATTAATCGTTTGACGTGACATTTTCATGTTAGCAATAAATCTACATCAACAAGGTGACGTGGCAAATTTTCTCCAAAACAAATCTGTTCCTTGATATTACAATTAGAAAAATTAGGGACGAGTAATGGCGATTTTTAGACGGAGGGCTGACGGAAACAAATTTGAAACTAGAGTTAAAGTTAGTGATTTTTTTTAGACAAAAAAAAATTGTGGATTTTTTTCTAGATAAAAAAAAATCAGGACATATTTCGACTGGACCTAAAATGGTTTGAGGTAAAATTGGGGCTTTTCAGGAGATTAGGGCTGCGAATGATAACCATTCTATTTCTATTTTCTGTTCCAAAAATAAGTTTGGAACAGAAATCCGTTTGGTAACGCAATTTCATTTTTCAATTTTTGGAACAAATTTTGATTTTAGAATTAGGTTTGAAACAGAAATAAGAAGAAATTTTTTTTCAACTTTTCTATTTCCGGAACTAAAATGAGAAATTCTTCTTATCGCTTACCCTTGCTACTAGTCGGCCACTCATCCACTGCCCATTGCCGCCCACTTGCCGGCCGCCGCCTCCCGCCGTTGGCCGTCTCTCGCCGACAGCCGCCGTGGGCTGCCATCCGCCGGCTATTGTCTCCCATCGTTGGTCGTCTTCCTCCCGTCGCCGGTCGTTGCCCACCTCCTGCCGTTGCCGGACGCCGACCGCCTCCAATCGGCCGTTCTCCACACTGGCCGCATCACGGTCCACCGCCGCCTCCCCCCACTGTTCGCCGCCCGCCTTTTGCTACCATCGTCCGCCCTCCTCCCGCTGCCGCCCCTCTCCAGTCACCCGCCTCCCACCGCTGCCCGATGCCAGCCGCTGTCCTCCGCACTGGCCACGTAGCCGTTCGTCGCCGCCTCCCCCCACCGTTCGCTGCCACCGTCCGCCCTCCTTCCGCTGCCACCCCCCTCCCACCGCCGGCCGTTGTCCGCCTCCCGCCGCTGCCCAACGCTAGCCGCCTTCAGCTGCCATCCTCCGCACTAACCGCGTTGCCGTCCGCTGCCACCATCCGTCGCTCGCTGTCCGCCACCGCCATCCGCCCACCGTCCACTCGCCGGTCACCCGAGAGGAAGAAATTTTGTGCTGTTATCAAACAAATTTTTGTTTCGGGAATAGAAATTTTGTGTCGTTATCAAATGTATTTTTTTGCTCAGAAACTCGTCCAGGAACAGAAATAGAAAAATCTATTTCTTGCTAGAAATTGATTTCTGAAATAGAATGATTGTCATTCGCAGTCTAGGCCTCTCTCAATTTATTTTTATTTTTGAGTAATTTATTTTTTGGTCTAATATATATTGTAGTTTGAATTGAAGTCAATAATAAGACTTTTGGAAGAGCCAACAAGCACCACTCATTTGAAGAGAGTAGAGCAACAAGCAGCCAAATCCACTCCGTACCAAACTCCCTCCTCCGTCTTTCCACCAGAAAAACTCTTCTATTGAAAAAAAACGAAAAAAAATCAATGAAATCTCTTCCATCTTCTTCATCTCCATCTCCACCTTCATCTCCCTCCCATTTCTCCCTCCTCCTCCCATGGCCGCCGCCGCCGCCGCCGCCGTCGCCAGTACTCCTACCTAACAGCGATCCGGCAGCCACCATCCCCATTACTCTCTCGCCACCTCTTCCCCCTCCGCATACAGCCAACTCATGACTTCTTCTTACTTCTTATCCTCCACCAAACAGTACACCACACCTGAACCCCTCCTCCTCCACCACCGCCACCTCCGCCGCCACCACCTCCCAAGACACCGAGTCCTTTCCCTACTATCCTCCGCCGTTGGCGAAGCTCACTTCCCGCAGAAACCATCCACCTTCTCTCTCCAACTGCTCCGACCCTCCGCCCGCTTCAGGAAGCCTTCCTTTGCCACCACCGTCTCATCCTCCTTCGAGGGCGAAGAAGGAGGAGAGCAGCGACGGGATGAGGTGCCGGGAGGTATGGCGGAGGAGTTCCACATCTCGTCGAGCACCGCGACAGCGATCTCGGTCCTCATAGCCGTCGCCGTCCTGTCCTTGCCGCTGCTGATGAAGTCGCAGCTGGGGGTGGGGGCGCCGCTGAAGAGCCGGGCACTGACGTACGTGACGCTGCTGTTCGGGTTCTACATGGCGTGGAACATCGGGGCGAACGACGTGGCGAACGCGATGGGGACGTCGGTGGGGTCGGGGGCGCTGACGCTGCCGCAGGCGGTGGTGACGGCGGCGGTGCTGGAGTTCTCCGGGGCGCTGCTGATGGGGACGCACGTGACCAGCACGATGCAGAAGGGCATCCTGGTGGCCGGCGTCTTCCAGGGCAAGGACACCCTCCTCTTCGCCGGCCTCCTCTCCTCTCTCGCCGCCGCCGGCACTTGGCTCCAGGTACCATGTTTGCTACTTTTATTTCGGGATCAACTCTTGTTGTCGTGCGGTATTTAGTGTTTGTGTTATGAACTGTTTTGTGCGTTTAGTATGGTTCTATGAAAGTTCATATAGATATATATAGTGGCGGAATCGAGTCATGTCTCATTGGAAATCATGTCATTTGGATTCATAAGGATATAAAAATTACGTACTTTATCTAGATACTTATACAAAAAAAAAATGCAAGAAAAAAGAAAAGGAGTAGAGAAATAGGGAAAAATTCAAGAAAAATAAAAGGCAGAACACATGTCGCGATAGCATTGACAACTTATAACTTTTTTTAGTAATTATGCATGACTATTAGGTGTAGAGACTAGACATAAGAAATATGATTAATGAGATAGATGCGGCTCAGCCCATGCGAGGGTAAAACGAGGTCCGTGCGACCCTCGCCGGCCCTCGAGAGCTAAGGTAAAGGGATCGGTAGACCTTTTACCTAGGCTAGGCAAGCGCGGCCTAGCTTTCGATAGAGCTCACGAGGGTTGCACCTCCCCTTGCCTAGGCGGAGGCAAGGGTCATCATGCTTCCCTCGTCCATGGCTCGAGAAAGTTGGCCGTCAGGGTCAGGGTAGACCGCACGATCAGCCCTTGCAAGGGCATGAGGATTTTCGTGCGACCCTCATCGGCCCTAGCCTAGGTAAGGTCATGCGCACCCCTTGCCAAAGCCCTTGAGGGCCGAGAAAGGCAACCGTGGTCGGGCTAGACCACGGCCATTGCAGGCCACCCGGTCCTTGTCTCCCCTGATTTTCTTTTGATCTATGTGCTCTTCACACCTTTTTTGTTTTTTGGACGATGGCACAAACAGTTCCTAAACTTTGTGATTCAATGTATAATGTGGTCCTTAAATTTTTAATTTGTTCAACGCAGTCCATGAACTTTAGCCTAACGTGCAATGTGATCCCCGAACTTTTAATTTGTTCAATGTGATCCCTAGACTTTTGGTATATGTTCAATATAGTCCCTGAATTTGAATTAATGAAAAAACAACATTGAACATTTTAATATAATTCAGGGACTAAATTGAACATGTATCAAAAGTTCAAGGACGAAATTGAACAAATTAAAAGTTCACGGGCCACATTGCACATCGGACTAAAGTTCATGGACTGTTTGTGTCAATTTCCCTTTTTTTTAGTGATATAATAAAACTTTCCATGGTAGCAGTTTACATATGAAACGATGTTTCGGTATCTATGCAAGGCATTGCCAAAATTTCTAAGAGGGATTTATTTAAATCTTAAAGCTTCATGCTCCTCGTGCATCATTTCACATGGATTTTCTATGGTTTGAAAACTGATCCATTGCCCTATAAATATCTTACCCTAGTATATTTTCTCGTATTTATTACGAACCAAATGCGCTTGCGCACAAACACTTATAAAAATTTCTTAACGAATGATCAAGATTTAATACTTTTGTGATCAAATGGTTATCAAATTTCAAGTATAAGATCCTTGGGGTTAGCCATTGTATTTTATAGTCATTACTCATTAGAATTTGCTAAAATCTTCTCTCGGCCACTGTAAGGGCATGATGCCCTGTGAGCCAAACCCCTAAAACAATGCTTTTCTAACTCAAAGCCCTTGCCAAGATTGGAAAATTATAGCTTCTTCCCCCAACTTCAATCCAACAGAAGTTGATAGCCATGGCGTAAAAGCCACACAAGAAGAAGCTCATAAGCTCATCAACACTCACTTCGTTCTAAGATGCACAGAGAAGTCAGCTTGCTCTAGCTTCTTGATCTGCATCAGTGATGTCTGCAGTGTATAGTCTATGCCAGTGCTTGTAAGGGTCGAAGGACAGGGCAGCGAAAAAGGGGCACGCCGGAGTTGTTAATAGCTTGCCAACAAAGCCGTTGTTGGGCTTAGTAAGTTAATGTTGGGTTATTGGTTTGATCAGGTTGCATCCTACTATGGTTGGCCCGTCTCCACCACACACTGCATCGTAGGATCAATGGTTGGGTTCGGCCTCGTGTACGGAGGACCGGGCGCTGTTTTCTGGAAGTCGCTGGCGAGGGTGATGTCGTCGTGGGTTATTTCGCCTCTGATGGGCGCTCTCGTCTCGTTCCTTGTCTACAAATGCATCCGCCGGGTATGTTCAGACATCTGAATAGAGTAGTCTGCTTCGACTTCGTAACGTTCAAAGTGCAGATGTCTAAGATATGCTTCCTTTGTTTGAGACCTAACCTTGGTTTTAGCTCTGCTTCTAATTGACCTTTGCTATGTCCAGTTTGTGTACAGTGCTCCGAATCCAGGACGGGCTGCCGCCACTGCTGCACCGGTTGCGGTGTTTGTCGGCGTAACCACAATCTCTTTTGTGGCTTTCCCGCTCAGCAAGAGCTTTCCTCTGGCTCTGGCCCAGGCTTTAGCTTGTGGCACGGCTGGTGCGGTCTTGGTTTACAGAATCATCCGGAAACAGCTCGGTCATCTCCTCGACAAAGCCGACTCACCAGGGACAGAGCCAAAAGAAGCGGCCATGCTCAATCAAAACATCGGATTCCTGACCGAAATCGCCGGCCCGAAAGGCACCCAACTGGAGATAGTGTACGGGGTCTTTGGGTACATGCAAATCCTGTCAGCCTGCTTCATGTCGTTTGCTCACGGGGGGAACGACGTATCGAATGCCATCGGTCCATTGGCCGCTGCGCTGTCCATTCTTCAAGGCGGGGCGAGTGGGGCCGAGATCGTGATCCCGACCGACGTTCTCGCTTGGGGAGGATTCGGGATCGTCGCGGGTCTGATGATGTGGGGGTACAGAGTGATCGCCACGATCGGGAAGAAGATAACGGAGCTCACGCCGACCAGAGGCTTCGCCGCCGAGTTTGCAGCAGCCACCGTGGTTCTCTTCGCATCAAAGCTGTGCCTGCCGATCTCAGCCACTCACACGCTGGTCGGCGCCGTCATGGGAGTCGGGTTCGCTAGAGGACTGAACAGCGTGAGAGCGGAGACCGTCAGGGAGATTGTGGCCTCCTGGGCAGTGACAATCCCTGTTGGTGCGCTCTTTGCGGTCGTCTACACATGGATATTGACGAAGCTCTTGTCATACATATTGTGAGCAAATGATTCGCTGGTTCAATGCCTCTGTTGTTGTGATTCAGCCTTTGCTCTCTTCCCTGATGATTCTGGGGGATGATTTTGGTTTTCTCCGAACTTTGATAAGGCGATTCCCGTCGAGCCGAAGCGTGCATCCCATCTCGAACAAGAGCTTCCCATCAATTTTGCTTCTTCTGCTTGTGTTTGTTTCAGAGCTCGAGCCTCTTTCTTATCCTCCGAGTCGTTCCTGGATGTGTTATATGCCTTCTTCTAGATGAGCAGATTCTACCTATGAGGTCTTAAGATAGCATTTATTTATGAGGCTCGTATGGGCAGAATGAACTTCGTAACTTCTCTGTTGGCCTGACCAGACCAGTTTTCGCACTTCCAGTAATCACCGGTGTAAGCAAACACTTGCTCCAGAGATCGAACGGAAAGAAAACCGTCGCATTTTAACAACTACAATGACTTTTCTTCGTGGTGATTCATATTAGTACAGAGCAATAACTATAACTACAAAGCCCAGCAACAGTAAATGGATCTTGAAGTTCTGTCATACAGCCATCCCTAACTTGATCTGGCACACCGAAAAACTCTTAACACATTCCAATACCCACTTTGGCAAAGCTTGTCAGCATGCTTTGCCTCACTCAAAACACATCCAGCACGCCATGAGAAACTACAGAACTTAACTTTAAGAAACTTTTCCTGGAACAACGGGTACCACCATACAGCAGCTTCCACTAGATTTCTGGATTCAAGGATCTCATCATGCTCGATTTTCCATTCTATTGTCAACATTAACAGTGCATTACTGGAACCATCATCTTTGATGACGAAGCGAACAAATTAAAAGATCATAGCAGACAAGCACCAAAAGTCGGCATCTACACGAATGAGGATTCTAATTTCTCTCATTTTGACTGTAAATTACAGATGGGAAAATAAAACAGAATTGCTAGGAGATGACAGAGAGGAGATGGATCATCTCGCAGCCAACAGGGCACTCTTTTGATCACTGTAGAATTCACGTCTTTACTTTTCCCCGCGCCCATGATGTATGAAGACCATGATGCTCGGGCATAGTAAGAGGGTAAAGGAATCATCGGCAACCACGGTGACTAGAGCACTCGTTTCAAACTTAAAACCAATCTTCTCGTCATCTTGGCCTTCTGATGGGTGATTTAGACCTCGACCTTCTCCTTCCCCTGCAAGGAAAGAGAAGAAAAAACCCAACTCTTATTGAAGATCCAGATATACATATAGAAACTGATGTCTTCACCTGAAATTCTATTGTTGTTAAGAGTGTCATGTCTTGAAAACATCAACACAGAGTCAATTGTCAGAGGCTTATGGAAACGTACCTAGTATTCCCAAGAGAAGAGTAGGGAGAATGCCTGCGCTGAGAATGCTTGCTATGTGGGGATCTCGATGGTCTAAAAATGAGACATCCATCACACTAATTTGGTGAGTTCAAACGTGCAAATCCAAGAGAAAGATGCTCAGCCTTTTAAAACATCAATTATCCTCCACTTTCTAACAATCACTAAAATGAGAACACGCTAAAAACCGAAGCACCATCGTTTACCAGCCAAAGGAGGAAAAAAAAAACTGCCAAATAGTTCACTGTGATGATCATTAAGACACCCTATATCATAAAACTACATGAAGGATGCTAATCTATAAACCGGACAGTATCAGTTCCCACACTACAATCTGTGTGCAACCACAGCTGCCAACAGCTGCTAAGCTGACTGGGTAGAGTTGGCGGGGGGCAGGAATGGGAATCTATCGAAATGATGGCACCTGCTCGCGTTATCTCTCTCAACGAAAATATTATCGACTCAAAAGAGAAAGATGTTCACTGTTTAACAGTCGGAGGGGAAAAAAACAGGTTACTTCCGGGCAAAACATAAATATTCTGTTGCTCCTATAGTTAATATTTGTTGCTGTCAAAGCAACAAAATATTTGTGGAGATGGAAGGGAAAGGTGTTGCCGCAAAATTTGACAAACTTATAGAACAGAGAAGCAACAAGCGAATCACCATTAGAAAGCAAATTAATATTGCTGACCATCTGTCCAAGAAAACAAAGCAAAGGGAGAATTTATTCAGATCCTTCAATTGGAAGTTTAATACCAGCTAAAGCCAACTTCCACAAACTTCACAATAACTTGTTTAAAGAGCCAAAAGCGCAAGTCGCTTGCAGCTGACTGTAAGATCAGCCCAAAGCAAGAACAGCAAAACCACCATATCTAATGATATGATGTTACAAGTAAGTGTGGATTTTATATATTCATTTTCTTTCTTCTACTAATTTAATTTTTGGCTCAACATCTTATGTCCTAAATGTAAGTTATTGCATTACCAGAGATAACAGCATTAAGGAAATTACAAACATTGGCTCCACTAGACTTAAGAGTTCGTATTTCATCCTTCACTGCCAAGTAAGCCCTCCTTCTCTAAATCCAGCCTTAATAAAACCTTGCCTAACTAGAGGTGATACAGAAAAACAATACACAAAAAACAAATAGCTGTGTAGAGCAGAAGACAAATCATCCACAATTTAAACAGAACTGCCTGTTCCAGGAATATTTTCTCTCATCACAAGTCCATGACAAATGGTCAAAATCAGATAAACCACAGTCCAGAAGCAATGCAAATAATGAGATGAAGCTGCTATCCCAATCATTAAGAGGAAAATCATTAATTTTAAATACAACTCGGAAGATATCACATACTCTTCCAGTCAACCTTAGGCTCAGCAACCACCACATCAAGAAAAAAGGAACAGCACATGCCAAAAGGATTTAGATGAATTCCAAAATGGAAAATATCTAACCATCATTATTATTTTTATGACATTCGTTCATGCAGATGGCACAATATTATGGACTTGTTTGAGCTATGATCTTATATCCACTTAGCAGTCTTATCAGTCATCTGCTTAATCCAGGGTACACTCTTAAATGCTCAAATTCTCACAATCAGTCAAGATGCTAGATGACATGACAATACGCTAAAAGCTAAAGCAATGTCATTTGGTTGAACAATTACCTTCTTCGTGACCTAACAGGAGAAGGTGAGAGGTCTCGTTTCCGGGAACGTGACTTCCTGCCAGTCAGAAAAGAAGGCAGTTGAATCCCAAAAATGTCTCTCCTTAATATTTGTAGTACCAGCAAGCAAAATTTTTGCTCAAATTGGAGGACCATCAAGGAACAGGCAGAAAATTCTCTACCAGTAAATAAATAAAGGCAGATAAACCACAACAGAAAGTAGACATCAAACTAATGACAAACCTTCTAGAATCGTCAGAAGCATCGTCACTTGAACTTTTTGCATGTGAATTTTCCTTACTATTTCTACCTCCACTACCAGTTGAAGAGGAACGTCTTCTCTTATGCCTTCTCAAATCATTCGGATGCTCTTTCCCCAACCTGTCCTCCTCCTTATGCTTTGACCTTTCATTTCTTTTGTCACCTTCTTTGGCACTAGACCTATAGGATCGCTCTGCCTCCTTTCTATCCTCCCTGCCGTCAACATCATTTGTTCTGCTCCTTGAATGGGATTCCTTCACTCTATCCTCAGATTTACGTAGCTCCGGCGTCTCTTTGGAATCCAACCTTTCTGTCCTTTCCTTCCTTAGACCCCTTTCATCTGTTCTCTGCTTCTCATCCATCTTCAAATCCACTTTAACTTTACCATCTGAATCACCTCCGCTTGATCTGAATCTGGTCTCTTTATCTTGAGAATTATCTGGCTTGAGTTTTGATACAACGTTCTCACTATGATGTTTTGACTTCATTGAGACATCATCTTTCATGGGATCCCCTGACCCAGAAGTATTGACATCTTCGTACACCTTTTTACGATTAAAATCCATCCCGTCAACAGCGCCTCCAGAAGCTAACTGCGCCGTCACATCTGCCTTATTGACACTTGAGCCAATACCATCAGTGCTGTTTTTCCTTTTGGAAGCATTGACTTTGGTGGAGCCACTCTCCATTTCCACCTGAACCCTATTACCGTCTTCAATTTTAATTGGTGGCAGGCCATTCTCAAGGGCCTTATTGACACCATTTCGATCCCTTTCACCACCTGGGATCATCGGAGCAACACCTTTTGCAAGAGTTGGTGCACTGGAGCTGCGCATTTTTTTGTCCCTGACATCGTCGTCGTCATCAGAGGCATAAGTTGCCAGACCCAAGATATTCCCTGGGGAGCTGGAACTAGACTTTTCACTAACATCTTCAGACTCTGATTCCTTATTGTCAAGTGAAACTGGAAGCTTTGCAGGTGATTTTGGAATAGGGCCAGAACGGGCAGATGGTGAGACCCTACGGTCTGAAAGAGTTACATTGTAATCAGATGCAGAAAATTAAAAACACCCATAGCAAAGAAGCCATAAGGAGGATAGATGCTACTTCAATTATGCAAGAAACACCAAATGATTGACAAATGGAGAGCTGCGAGGTCATCATAAAATTACCATCAGTTACCGGATCATCTTCATTAAGAACCTTTGTTGCTATTTCATCAAAAAGCTCATCAGTCACCTGTCCAAAAAATTATAATTTATACTTCATGTATACTGATGTATATGTTCCTGAAGAGAAGTAATCCAAACAGCTATTAACCTTCAAAAGAACTTCAGTTAGAACACGCTTGATTTCTTGGTTAATGGCCACAGTTCTGGCAGCTTCTGCATAATCCTACAACAAAAGGCAAAGCTGTCTTAATAGGTAGAAAAACACGCAATAATGCAACTGAACAATATGTGCAAAGTCATATTGAAATATGTGCTCCGTACACCCCTCTCCCCACCCCTAGAAATAAATAAAATAAAATAAAATAAAACAGAAAGGATGGGTAAACCTCATCATCATCATCTTCTTCAGTTGACCTAGACGTGTCAATGCTTTTGTCTTCTCCTTGGTCGCCCATTTGGAATGACTTATCTGCTTCTTCATCTTCTAGGGATTGAGATTCAACTTTAGCATGCCCCAGAGATGTACTTGAAATGGAAGCTTTTGTCTTAATTATCTCCTCTCTAAGCCAATTAGGCACTGGAGCCTGGAAATATGTCAAGCCAGAAGTCAGCACCGATCAAGTCATGCTCGATGGGTCCATTCAAAGACTAAATCTAATACCTTTTTGGGACGCTCGGATATATTAGAAACACCATAAGCATCGCCAGCAAAGGATGCAGCAGGAGGTAATGCTGTTCCTGCACCCAGACTGAAAGGGCCACCAGGAGATGGAACTGTAGGCTGAAAGCTTGTTCCAGAAAATCTTGCAAATGGTGTTGCTCCTTGTCCAGAGAGAGGAGATGGTACGGAGGGATCGTGCTGCAAGGAAAGGTTCTTGGCATGTGTGCACAGGCAGAAAAAAGACAAAACGGGAGAGAGAGGGAGATCCAAACCTGAGGCCCTGGTGGATTAACTGAAGGAACTGAAGGGTAAACCGCATCAGGAACCACAGACGAGGTCCAAGTATTCACAGAAGCTGAAGCTGCAGGGTTAAGGTGATGAGCATAACCAGGCTGCTGACGTGAATCTTGATCCCGAGTAAATCTGGGAGTAAATTGCAATGGCTGATCAGCAAGATCAGTCACAGGCTCAGCTAGTTGATTGCCATATGAAAAGGGCTGTCCAGATGGAACTGATCCAGTAATAGCAGGCCTTGATGGTTGCAGGTGGTGCATATTTTCCTGACCTGCAGAAACATGCCAATGCAGCCTTTGATCTGCCCTGTCTTCTTGACCTAAAATTCAATTGAGTAGTCAAACAGCTGACAAAGGGGAAATTAGAGGATATCTTACATGGACATTCATGAGAGATAGTAATCAGAGTTTTACACCAAGTATCATAAATAAAAACCTCAGGTACTTTGTAAGTTCACAATCCATGTGCAAATCTGTAACCTTGACATAAACATAGCCTACTATTTCAACCATCTTCATATCCGATATACCTCCTAATTTGTCTACATGAACTAGATTCTTTCAGAAATAGGCATAAAGAAATTAAGGCCTTGTCTGTTTGAAAGTTCACTTTCCTAAAAACACATATAACGTAATATTACTTGGTAAAAATCATTTAAAAAAGAAAAAAACATTACCTAACTTTAAATGACTTTTATGTCAATAATTGTATGCATGCAGAGATTCGACGGTGAATTAAATGAGTCAAATCTCAAACATAAGAGCAAATAACCAAAAAGATCAAAACAAAATTCATTCTGAACACAACCCCTGAGGAAGTCCCCACCATATAAGAAATTAACTCCACAAAAAAATAATAATGATAGTCAAAAGAAAGCTAACACGATTACATGGAAGTGAAATGGATAATGTAGCGCCTCTTTCACATCTAGTCACATCTTTAAACATGTGGTCCTTACCTTTTCATAAGGCAGAGGAAAGAAAAGAGTGAAAATACATTATGTACACAACCAGTCTCGCTGTATTCTCTTGGAAGTTTTTTTTTTGTCAGTGGCTTGCAATCTTAAGGGCATATTTGGAAACCAAAAGACTCTAGTTAAAAGTCATTACTTCTATGAATGAATGTCCCTCCAAGATTAGAAAAAGGACAAAGCTTAACTATTGTCTAAGTTGCAACATCACACAAGCCAACAGTAGATTTTCTATTAGAAAGTTCCATGGAAACTGCTCATCAGCTCTAGTTTCACATGCAAACTATATGTTAAGTGAATATTACCTGAAACAGAAGAATAACTAGAAGGTACCTCCTGCTGATGAACAGATACGTTGGTCGGCAAAGAATCTTGTTGGCGTAGTACCGAGTTTGCATGTCCAGTTACTCCATCTCTAGCTGGGAAGGGTGAACTTCCATCCGGAAGGTAAGCTGATGGCCCAGAACTGACAGATGTAATCTCCTGCGTATACAACGGTTGCCCTTGTGGGGGTGCGGCTGAAAGAGAATGTTGCTGATGGCCCTGTCCAGCTAGTGGCTGGTGATGATTTTCCGTATAGTGAGAGTCCAGTGCAGACGGATATGGGATGTGATAATGGTTCTGCTCATCCATCCTGCCTGGTGGTGCATATTGCGACTGAGCTTGTTGGTTTTCCGTGGCAGCTTTGGCATCTGCCCAAGCTTTAGCCCTGGCAGCCCAATCTTCGGAATTGCTATGTGCTGCCGAGGGTAACAAAAACAATTCACAATGAAATACATAAGAGCATTCAAAGGAGGAAAAAACACAACCGAAGATATAGTATACAAAGAAAATTCATCCAACTAGTTATACGGTTTATGAACATTAGTTACAGAATTACGGGTAAGAACTAATGACATACTATCAATGATGAGGAGCCATGAGCAAAGCGACAAAGAGCATGTACCTGGATTTTGCCAACTCATATAGTGACATTAACTACAACAGGAACTAACATGATTATATACATTCCACAGACCACCCCCACAGGACCTTCGTTACAACGTAAGTTTTTATTTTAACCCACAGAATGACAGAAAAAAGAAGAAGACTAATATCTATAAGAACTCACATCTGGTCGACTCTTGTTGTTTCCATAAAGGAAGATGGCTATGTTCTCTATCATTTTCTCAGGCCAGACTTATATAAACGGATTGCAAGAAAATACTTTTCATTATTGATATACATATACTTCAGACAAGAAGTTTAGTCTTACGAACTTTAAGCTCCAGAACATAAGCGGCAGGCATAATATAGAAGGATAAATAATCGGTAACAGTAAACCAGTCGCACCTACACTCAATGATATCAACGGTTTACATAAAATTGAAAGAATCTGCCAGACCAGATTATCGATAACCAAGAACTATAAAATACAAGAACAGATAATTCTTAAAAAAAAACCTGCTGGATGGTTCCAATTTTGCTGGTAAGCCCAGTTCGGATTGCCCCATTCCTGCAAACATTACCGGATTAGAAATCAGAGACTGCACAATACCATTCTACCAAAGAAACAAAGCAAACAAGGCAAAACCAAAAACTCACTGAAACAAAAACAGGCAAAGCACCCCCCCCCCCCCCCAAATCTCTCAAAATCAAACACCCCCTAGCACACAATTGTGCGTAACCTAGCTTCAGAGTTTTAGCCTAAAGGAAATACAAGGACGACAGAATCGATCATTTCACACTCGAATGAAAAGCAGCAAATCAAAACACCTCCTAAAAAAACAAAAGCAGCAAGTCCAGGAATTAACTGACCTGCGGAGGATACGAATTAGGGTACGCCGCATGAGGAGGAGGAGGAATAGGAGGAGGCGGGGGGAGGTGAGGCCGAGGGGCGAACTGGCCGTGGTGAGGGGGATAAGGCACCGATCCCGGAGGAGGCGGAGGCGGCGGCTGCGCCCACTGCTGCGACTGCGGAGGCGGCGGCGACGGAGACCGGTAGTGGAATTGATTGGGGTACCACGGGCCTTGATGAGGATGCGGCGGCGGCGGCGGCGGGGGCTGCTGCTGCTGGTACTGGTGGTAGGGATCCGCCGTCGACGGCGGCGGCGGCGGCGGAGGAGGTGGCGGCGGCGGCGGCCTCATGTAGCGGTGGTACGCATCCATCGCCGTCGGAAGGTGGGGGCCGGCTGTGGCTCGAGTACGGAGAGACGGGAGATGGGAGGTGTTCGTATCTATGCGCTGCTGTGTGTATCATAGAGAAAGGGTTGTTATCAGCGTCTATGCAACTGGTGCGATCACGCGATGGAGAAGGTGGAGAGCACGCGCGGCCTGCGTGAGGACCAGTGTAGGGGATCCTAACACGCCCATCGGGTCGGGTCGGGTCGGTTCATGTTGTCCAAAGATAGGCCCGATTCACTTATCACGAAAGAGTTCGAACCTCTGCTTCCTACTCGGACCCCGGTCCGTATGGACTGGATCAGTCGCAACCATACGAGTCTCGCACAAATCTAATAAATTTATAGACCCGGATCTAAGATTGCATGGATCGAATCGTGCAAACCTTGATCCTATGAGGCCTCACCGACTCTTAGATAGGATATATGGTTAAAAACGTTTTGTTTTTGTTATCCAAGGCTCTAAGAGCGAGACTTGCCAGTTTTCTGCCTAATAACCACCTCTGCCTTCGACTCATCATGGCCATTCACGGTGGCGCAGCATTCATCGAACGCACCGCGAGAATCAGAGAGAGATGGAATAGCGAAAGGCTAGAGACCGTTCTTGATAGAAAATTTCAAAATTCATGCTGTTTATGCTACTCTTTTAGAGTCGGGATTTGAATCGACGGTAGTGTTTGAAATAATTGTTACTCCTAGCTTTTTCTACGAGTTTTGGCAAATCTACACGGTAAAATCTAGGCTTACGCTATTTCCACATGCACAATGGCTCGATCAACGACTATCTTTTTGCTGCACCGACCAAAAATAAACTCAAGCCAGCGGTCGAAATCTTAACATTACCCCGCCGACAACTCGCCATTGATCCGAGATTATCACTCATTGGACAGTTTTCTTGTTTAAATGCAAAATTTCACTCCATTATGCTATATAACGGCGTTCAAATTTGTACGGAAAAATTTTCAAATCACTCCTTTGGAATATTTTGCATTTTCAATTAATTTATATAATATGTAAAGTAATACTTCTTTGGTGCAACACAAATTCTCAACAGTTCTCCCAGCTCCTGAAATTAACCGAGGCTTGGCTAACATGTGACATTACCGGAGAGAGAGAGGGCGATGGGACATTACTGTTCTTTAGCTCTCAAGGTTTACCGTATGAAAAGAAATTTGTCAACAAGTGCCATTAACAAGTACTCCAATGACACTTGTTAAGTAACCAATTCAACAAATTTTGCATTTCTAAAATAGGCTAATTATTTTTCGTTTTATTTGCAATCACATCATTGGAAATTGCAGTATCTATAAATAAGTATGCTTAGCAAGCATCCCGGATCACTCTTTAACACGACCCGAGGGAAAAATACAAAAAATATGCTGATTGGCACCTTTTGGTTACAAAAGAGTTATCGGCACCCGATGCTCGCCGAAACAGTATCCTCGCATTGTAACTAAATGGCCAAAAAACCCATGCGTTACCACCTGCGAGAGAGTGAGAATCAAAGGGTAGCATAACCTGGCGAATCTGCGGGAAGCTGCTGCCTTCAGCAACTCACCAAAGCGTGACCTGTGTATGCACCCTTCCTGTTGAATGATCCTCGTATAGAGGTCAGCAGTCAGGAATGAAATCTTCTATGCTGCATCCAATGAAGTTACCAACACACTCCATCGAAAGAATGAGAAATTGCCCGCGTTTCGCCTCTGCAAAATCATGCTACGGCGTCCGCCTGCCTTCTGGTGAGCCGTGCATACAGCCCATCTCTGAGGAGGAGCTCACTGTGCTTGCCCATCTAATAGAGACAGAGCGAGAGAGAAAAAATTAATTGATGGCGCAAGGAGATAAAATGACGAAAGGATACTTCTGCAATCTTTATAACTATCATGCGGTCTTCATGCTAACTTCTATATGATGTAGCAGAAAAGTGCAGCCGTGTCAGGACATAGAAGAAAGCCCAAGATGTCGAAGCTCGAAGTCTGGGATAAAAAACACTGCAAAGTCCCTCCATCCACCTCAGAGGCTATTATATGCTCATGAGCAATTAAGCACTAAGTAGCCAGGTATTATGTTCTTAAATCTTGTCGGAGCATCGTGTAGAGAGAAGCGACAGAGAAATTGACAAACACTCAGATTAGAAATAAATCTGCTCAAGGCAAATCCACCGCTCTATTGGCAAGACGAGATGAAAGTTCACAATAAAAGTGGTAAGAATACAAACCTCAACAATTTGGCCACTGTCCATTACCACTATCCTATCAGCAGCTTGTATTGTAGAAAGCCTGGAGAAATGAAGAATAAAACATCAGCACAGAAAGTGAAATGCTCAAAAAGGGCTGAATAATTATCTCACCTATGGGCAATGACTAGAATAGTTCTCTTTGTGGTCAAGGTACTTCTCTCAGCACGAAGAACACCCTGGATAAAAAATTAAGAGAAAGAAAAAGGATGTGAGCTGATGACATCGAACCTGCAAAACCCAATCTCTTCCTTTTTCTTCCCTAGGTTTTCTGTTGTTGCTAAATGCACCAACCAACCTTGATATTGTGCTCACTCTCTGCATCAAGTGCGCTCGTCGCTTCATCAAGAATTAAAATGATTGGATCTCTAAGAATTGCTCGAGCAATAGCAATTCGTTGCTTTTGACCTCCGCTGAGTAGATCATCATCAACAAGAGTTTGGTAACCATCGGGCAGTGACAAAATGAATTCATGAGCATATGCCTGCTTGGCTGCCCATTCCACATCCTCCTGTTTAATATCGTGTGTACATCCATATCTTATGTTTGAAGAAATATCCATGCGGAAAAGTCGCGGTTCCTGCTAAAGCTATTGTGTCAACAATCAAAACATAAAAAACAAAATTCCAATGCTAACGAGAGGCTAATTAGGCGCCAAGACAAAAAAAAAAGAGAGGCTAATTAGGCGTAACCTGTCCCACGTATCCAACTTTTTCCCTGAACCACTTCACATCCAACTCTTGAACGGGGAAGCCATCTACCAAGATCTGAAATAGAAAAAAACCAAAGTAGCATCATATGACTGAGCAGAAAGGCCTTGAAATATAATCACTGGATGTAGCCTAGTTTTAAATGTCCGGACAATGGAGGCGTCCAATGGCAGAACGATGGCACAATAAAGTTCAATCGTTGAATACGAGAATTTAACATCCTATAGGAAAGAAAATCTAATCGGCTACTGTTTACTCGAGAGCATTATAACCACCAAGCGCTTTCTTTCCAACAGAAATGTTCACAAGTGAATCTTTAGCCTACAGAGAAACTCTAATTGATATTCAGGTTGAGATAGCATATTTCTTAAGCTTCATACAATTCAAATCTAGTCCACGGAGGTTAAAGATACATCACCTGACCGTTAGTTGGCTCGTAAAGGCGGAGCAACAGATTCACTAGTGTACTTTTACCACTCCCGCTAAGACCAACCTACACAATATAAAAAGATGAGGCAAAGGGTTCCTAAAGTGTAGCCTACAAAGTAAAAGAAATCGATTATAGAAAACTTGTCCGTACAATTGCAACAACTTCACCAGGTTGCACAGTAAGGTTTACGTGTCTGAGAACTGGCACCTGTTCAAAGTACTCTTTGAGTTTTATATATGCATATATAGAGGAAAGAAATAGGAAGAGTTGTTACTGTAACCATTGAACAATTACTAAGTAATACATGAGAATGCAAATCAGACAGGCCCAAAGAAAGCAAATATAATATAATATTACAGCCTCATCTGTAACCATGGAATTTACGGTGCTTGTTGGTTCTAGCAGAGGAACATGAGTAAAAATAAAAGCAATTGAAACAGAGAAATAATCCAGTGACAGAGGAAACATGGTAAAGAAAAACAACGCCAGCAGCTAGGGAACAGATGATGATAGAACGTCTCTCAGAATCGCATTCAGAAGAAGCGTGTATTCATAAGGGAAAATATATAGTTGGGTCAACAAAGAAAAAAAAAACTTACTGTAGGCCTAGAGGAATAATAAAACGAGACATTATGAAACTCAACGCATCCATGAAGCCTTTCCAACTTTGAATCTGAGAGGTGAGAGGGAAACATTAGAAAAGGTGATCCATCCCCTACAATTTTTATCACAAGGTGTGGAAAATGTGCACAGATTATTTGAGTCCAAAAATCACATAACCATGTAAGCTAACTTCAACTTATTCATCTTAACCATTTGAGAGAACACGGGAAGATTTTAAAGTAAAAAACGTGTTAAGGTTTCTGATCTCCACCTATTTATATGATATTCATATTGCAATTACAGAATGCCACTGAACAAGTATACTGCATATTATGATATAATGTTATTCTATCAATTACCAAAACACATTATGCTTGTATTTGTAAAGTTGAAAATTCTCCAACAATTCTATGTAAATACTGCTCCATGCCTCTATCTATAACTTAGAAAAGCTTTACTATTAAGGGGGAGATAACTAGCACTAATTCAGAGAGGACTCGGGAAGAAGAGACAACTAGCACTAATTCAGAGAGGACTCGGGAAGAAGAGACAACTAGCACTAATTCAGGTTAGTCTCCTTTAAGCAAACTAAGCCACTTGCCTTTTGATATGAATTGGTCACTTGCTGGAAGATCCATCAGTTGGAAGACTTTTTCGCTAGCCCCAACAGATTGCATCAATGATGATAAATTGTCCCCAATCCACCATGTCGAGTAAATTAACCACTCACTGTACAATAAAAACTTTGTGAGTTGCTCTGCAGTTGTCTGACCAGCCAGAATGGACATTCCTCCTATCAGCACAGCAATAACCTACAAAATACAATCTACGTGTCAACATACACGACGTTGTCAACTTGATCTTTCATCTGAAGAAGAATCTTCAATTAAATCTCAAGTGAAGACTTGTTCCTTGTACTTAATACCATACAAGCCAAAGCGCTAACTCACAGAAAACTTCATAGATATATACGATAAACAGGGTGCCCTGAGAAATAATGCTAGAAGCACCTGAAAGTTTGATTAAGAAAATAAAATACAAGCACCTTCTTCTTAATTCTCAATAAGAATTATCATTTGATCTCTCCTCAGCCTATTGTCTAGGGCAAAGAAGA